TGGCTGTCATCGGGGCAGGGATCAGCGGGCTGGTGGCCACCAAGTGCTGCCTGGATGAGGGTTTGGAGCCCACCTGCTTTGAGAGAAGCGAGGACATCGGGGGGCTGTGGCGCTTTGCAGTGAGTGAGCTCTGCCTGGTTTTCTCCTTCCGCTGTGCTCCCACAACAGCCCTGCTCGTTTCTCACAGGACAATGCAGACTGCGGGAGGCTCAGCGTGTACCGCTCCATCATCAGCAATACCTCCAAGGAGATGTCCTGCTTCAGTGACTTCCCCTTCCCGGAGGATTTCCCCTCTTTCCTTCCTCACAGCCTCTTCTTGGAGTATTTCCGCATGTACGCTCGGCACTTCCAGCTCCTGAGGCACATCCGCTTCAAGGTGAGCTGGGACCAAAAGCAGGACGGCCTGAGGGGCTGCAGGAGCTGCCATCACATGGGTGGGACGGGACAATGACTGGTGCGAAGTCCACAAGCTCTGCACGCTCTGGGCATCCTCAATGCAGCCTTTTTGGCTCTATCTTTTAAGTGAGGATGCTTGAGCATGGACTGCCTTGTGCCCCCCATGCTGTGCCCCATGCAGGGGGAAGGTGTAGGTTTATTTTTGCAGTTCATACCTGAAAGGTACCCGAAGGCCCAGCAGCCCCAGCCCTTTGTGAACAGCACCTTTCTGAAACACAGCACAGTCTCTGATCCTTGCATTATTGGGCTTTTCAAGACAACAGTTATCAGTGTGAGGAAGCGCCCGGATTTTGCCACCTCAGGCCAGTGGGATGTGATCACTGAGACAGAGGGCATCCAGGAGTCGCACATCTTTGATGCTGTCATGGTCTGCGCAGGAATCTTTCAGAAGCCCCACCTGCCATTGGCTTCTTTCCCAGGTGAGTCCTGCCTCTGCAGTGGGGTGGGCTGGGGTTGTTCCTCTGCTCCACAAGGCTCACCAGCCAGGGCACCTGTGACCCTTGCCCCGTGAAAATGGATGCGAGCCTATCCAGAAATGGATAAACCACCTCATGAAGATGCAACAGTGCTGTTCCATGAGGATTTTCTGAGCAGGACCATGACAAGGTTACTCAGAAAGGTGGGAGAAGGTGAAAGCATCGCCACTACTGGTGGAGCTGAGAGTTCTGTGGGCTTTGCAGCACTGGGCTTGGCTGCAAAGCAGCATGACCGGGTTTGGCATCAAGTCGGTGCAAATCTGTGGTGATAGGAGATGTTCCTCACCCTCTGCACAGGTATTGAGACCCGCTTCAGAGGTCAGTACTTTCACAGCCTGGAATACAGAGATGCAGCTGCTTTCCAGGGAAAGCGGGTCCTCGTGATTGGACTTGGGAACACTGCCTGTGATATTGCTGTGGATATGAGTCATGTTGCTGCAAAGGTACAGCATCACGGTGGGTGGGAGATGGGACAAGCAGGAGGGAGGTTAAAACCAGAGTTTCTCTCAAAGCCAAGGTTAGCAAGACCCACCACAGGGACACGTTTCCCTTTCCTTTGCGTGGTTCTTGACAAACCGCTTCCTGGCGTTAGGCACTTGCCTTCCCTTCAACCACTCACTCTCTGAGCGAGGCTTCATCACTGCTTTTCCACTTTACTGACACACAGCCAAGCTCTTCCTGTTCCCATATACCTCCCCAAAACTTTCTACAAGCACACAGAAGATGCTAAAGCACCTTCTTGAACAGAAATATGAGACTGCTGCACCGCTGTTAGTAGCTATGTTGCACACCTTTGATTTCTTCTCTCTGTCCATCTTGCAAGTACAGCTCTATCTTCACCTCTCAGTACCCACAGAAACTCACAGTTTTGCTCCCCAAGCATTTCCTCTCACTTGCCCATTGGGTTTCTCAACAAACAAGCCTTAAATTGAGGCCAATTGAATGAGCTTTGCAATTTCTGGAGAATTTGGACTATCTGGGAACTTTGCAAAAGCCCGCCATGAACTGGTTGGTTCATCTGGACACCAGATGCCTTCATTGGGACCTTGCTCACAAGCACAGGAGTTGGGATTTGCTACGTCAGGCAAAAATGGAAGTCAGGCTTCTGGGCACGAGGCCCTCAGGCCTGCCTTCTCTGCCAGGTATTTCTCAGTGCCAGGAGCACCACGTGGGTGTTCAGCCGGGTGGCAAACGATGGCTTACCCTGGGACATGCTCAACACCACGCGCTTTAATCACTTTCTTGAATGGCTTCTCCCATCAGCCATCATGAAAAGGATCAAGATTTGGAAGATGAATTCATGGTTTAACCATGAGATCTACGGCTTGGCTTCTGCTAAAAGGTGGTTGTTCTGGTTTTGTTTTGTTTTGTTTTGGTTTTTTTTGTTAGAATGTATTTTTTAATAGTGTGAAATCATCTTTCATTTCAAAGGATATTTGCAGAATAGCAAACCATCAGAGAGGATTATTTTTTCCATTGATAATGCATTTAGTATGGCTTCACACTCTTGGTGCCTGTTTACAGTCCTGTTGGGTTCTGGGAACTCAATGTTGTCCAGGTCCTAGTATCAACTCCACCCCACATCAGGGTGTTTTGCAATGGTTAATCAAGCCACAGGGGGCAGAGATCCAAACCCGAGGCACACAACCCTCACATCCCTCGCAAGCACCGCTTTCTTAGGAAAGGCCACAAAAGACATATTGCGTCTCCCTTGGATGCTAACATTTCTCTCCTTTTTTTTTCCATGCGAAAGTTCCAATTTTAAATTCATTATCAATGAAGAGCTGCCATTTTGCATGCTCTCTGGAACCATTGTGCTGAAATCAAATGTGAAGGAGTTCACTGAAACTTCAGCCATTTTTGAAGATGGAACAACTGAAGAGAACATCGATGTGGTGATCTTTGCCACAGGCTACAATTTTTCATTTTCCTTTCTTGAAGAGTCAATTTGCAACCAACTCAAAAGTAATCATACCCTATATAAATGTGTCTTCCCACCCCAGCTGGAAAGACCAACGCTAGCTGTCATCGGTTTGATCCAGCTGACTGGCTCCGTGATGGTGGGAGCAGAAATCCAGGCTCGCTGGGTGACAGGAGTCTTTGCAGGTGAGAGAGAGACTGCAGGGATAGGGGAGGTGCTGAGGAGGGAGGACAGGTCACCTTGCTGCTCTTGGGACCATGCTGGGCATCACCACATGCTTTTGGTGAAGGTGCTGGAGCATCAAATGGGAAGAATGACTACTAACTGCTCTGCTCATAGGTCTGTACATGACTTCTGGTCTCTTTACTCTTCTCAGGCGCATGCAAACTCCCTCCCAGCAGCAAGATGATGGCTGAAGTCTTGAAAAAACAGCTGCCAGTCAAAAGGTGTGTGATGCTCCTCTACTTGGGCTCATAGAGTGTGCATAGTGTGATATGCCTTTGCTCTTCATAAGCAAATCAAGCTGAGAAAAGTTGGACCTTTCTCTTGCCAAACCCTTTCTGCCGATCCATGCTGAGCTCTGGGATGAAGCAAACCCTCAGTGATGTGGGGAGGAAGCAGCACAGCACCCATAACCTGCAGGTCCCTCTGTGGGTCCTGCACAACCCACCCTCTCTCACAGCACCTCTGCGTGGAGCTTTGTTTTCCTCTAGACAGAGGGTGCCATCTCGTGGCTTCTCCCTCCCCAGTCTAGGAAACGGGCAGCGTGGGCTGAAGGCCACATCCCATCCCCAAAGCCCACTGGAGCTTAGGGGCAGTTTCCTAGCTCAGGCCACTCTGTGGGTTGTGTTTCAGAGACCACAAGCAGGTTATGGAGACAGAGCCTCTTCCTTGTGCTAGGCCAGCTGCTGATAACCCTGCATAAAGGTTCTTTGGGTGCTTTTAGGTCCCTTCATGTCACCCTACAGCAGGGCAGCCTGAGGGAGCTCAGCCAGCTTGTGTTCCTTGCAACATGGTGGCTTTTGTGAGCCCAGAGCAGTGACCCAAGGTGGGAACATAACATGTTATTTGATTTTCTGTATTGATTTTATGCCCATGGAAGGGATGTGCCTGAGAAGCAGAACTTGAAGTTGAATTTCATTAGTTACACCAGTGAGATTGCTTCGTGTGCCGGTGTGAAGCCCAGCGTGCTGCGGCTGCTCCTGACCGACCCTCGGCTGGCCCTGGCTGTCTTCTTCGGGCCCTGCACATCCTACCAGTACCGCCTGATGGGACGGGGGCAGTGGAGCGGGGCTAGGGCTGCCATCTTGACACAGTGGCAGAGGGTCTTGAAACCTTTGAGAACTCGGGTGTTGGAGGACAGCGCCTCCTCACACTCCTGGCGCTGGCTGGGCCTCCTCGCCCTGCCTACAGCACTGGTGGTAGGGCTCCTCCTCTCCAAATATCCCAAGCTGGGGTGGGCTCCCCGGGCATGACTTACGTTCTAGAAGAGACCCTACGAAGACGCTGCCGTGCCGTGCCAACAGGGAGGTGTCTGTGGGTCCAGTGTGTGTGGGATCTCACCCAGTGTGGGTGGCATCTCTGTCCCTATCTGTGGTTGAAATGCAGCAGGACAAGACTGTGGGGAGGTTTGGGATGAGGCCGAATGGCACGGGCCTCCTCAGCACTGCGGATTTGGGAACAGCAGTTGTGTTCATACGGAAACTTCTGGGAGGGGCTAGCCGGAAATAAACCTCAGCGAGCTTCTAACGGTGCTACGCATGATGGGAGTCCACGTTTTTAGTAATGCGTTGACTAATCGGCGATGGGGGTTGGGGAAAGGCGAGGGGGACTCACAGCTTTGGGCCACGGCCCGGCGCCAGCCCACCCCGCACAGACAAGGGCTCGGGAGAGCAGGGGGCACGCGAGCCACGCCTCCCGCTGGGGGAAGCCGCCACTTCCGACCGCTAGGGGGCGCTCGCGGGCTCCGCGCGCCTCCCGGACTGCGGCACGGCGTGGGGTCACGTGAGCGGCAGTGCGAGGGGTGGCGCGCGCGCGCGGCGCGGTGAGGTCAGACGTCGTTGGCGCCGGCTTGGCCGCCCGCCATCTTGGCCCCTGTGTGGAAGCGGCTGAGGCGCGGCGTCGCGGCGCCGGGAGCGGCAGCGGCCTCGCCGAATCCGGGAGCCCCGGGGAACGCGGGGTGGGGGGGAGGCCGGAACGCCGGCCCGCCGCGCTGCGCGCCAGGTGAGAGCGACTGCTTCCCTTCTCCCGCGGCTCCTCGCCGGCCGGCGATGAGGAACCGGCGCCGGGAGGAGCGGGAGAGCGGCCTGCGCCGCATGGCCTCGGGCGGGGGCGGCTTCCGGCCGGCCTGGCGGCGGTGTTGAGCGGCCTGGCGGGGAGTGGGGTGCGCGCGGGGCCGCGGCCGGGTGGAGGAAGGAGAGAGAGCGGGAAGGAAGGAGGGAAGAAGGGAGGCGGCAGGGCGCCCGGGCCTGTGGCGGGCCGGGCTGCTGGGCCGCAACGCAGCGCATCGCCGTCTGCGGCCGGCCGCGCCCCGCAGCGGGCACGGCGCCGGGCCTCGCCCCACGGCTGGGCTACGGGGGCCGCTTCCCGATCCACGGCTCCCCGTTTCTCATCCTTCTTCCCCATTTCCCACCCCTTTCTCAATTTCTGCCTTCGGTTCTATTCCCTCCCTTTCTCTCTAAACATCTCTGTCCCTCTCTAGGGAGATCCCCGGCGTTCGTGTTCTCTTTGTGGCACTGATTCTTCCTCCCGAGATCCCCCGGGGGGAGTTTTTTTTTTTTTCCTGCTGCACGCTGGGCTGTGCGGCTTGATTTTCTAACTCTGAAATGTCCATCCACAGTTCTGGAGATGCACAGTAAAAGGCTGCTGCTGCTGCTGGGTTATTTCTCTTAGATGTGAGTGAAGCACCTTTAGGAAAGGTATTGTGGCTTCTGCTCTCAGGAATGAGGTTTGTAGGAGTGGGGTGGAGAGGGCTGGGAGGGGGCTTAGCGATTAAATCATGGTGTGAGATGACATGGCTAAAATTCAGGTAGGTGGTCTGCAATGGGAGCCATCACATATAGATACAGATTGAAATTTTGGGGCTAGTTTCCAGCTCAGGCCCTCTTTATGGAGGAATCAGAGCATGCATGAGAGCCTGGTGCTGGGAGTTGTAGTGAATGCTGTGTGGTTTCTTTCCCTTTTGTGTCTTGGGCATGCATTTTGTAAGCATGTCCCTTTGTAAAAGGTCTTGAACCCTTTCTCATTGGGAAAGGGCTGTTTTTTGTTATCATTCTTTGGTTACTGGAGTCAACTGAGTGTAGTAGTAGAAATAAGGATTATTTCAAGCAGAAGGAGTGTTGTTTATTCTTCAATCGATTTGTTTCTTGTGCTGTGGGATATCAGGCCTACTCATTGTCTAGCCTTAAGAGCTGTGCTTGGACAAGAAACTGCATTTTAATGGGGGAGGAAATGGGACGTGATCTCATCTGTCCATCTGGAAGAAACGAAAGGATGGCCTTATAATACTGAGGGCCAGGAGATGAACGGTTCTCAAATTCCTTTGAATCATAAAACCCAGAGAATTTTTCTTCATAATTAATATTGGGACCCTTCCCCAGGGTCTTCCCTGGGACTAAAGAACCTTTAAGTTTTGAGAGCTCTTTGGACTTAGAGTTCAATGGAGAGGTGTTTTGTCTCTCAGTATTGGGCTCAGCGTGTGAGGTTATGGCTGCTGTGATGCAGGTGTGTTAATAAAAGGTGGCCATGTGAGCTGAATTGGGAAGTGGCATAGGCCAGTGTTTGTGTACAGCCACCAGGACTGGTTCTTGTCACCTGGAACACCACCGTACTATATATGTATTTTCTACATTAGGCCTTGCTTTGGTAAGTATTAGCTTGTAAAATGTGTGTAATCTTGGCTAGTCTTCTTCTGCAGATATTTTATGAATATCAACCTGTAGTTTCTTTACTTTTGTTTAGATTTAGTAACTGGAGCCCTAATTTTTTGTAGAAAAGCCTTTACAAATTGTTGCATCTGTTTACATCTGTAACTTCCTTATTGCTGGAATCCTTGTTTGATGGTACAGATTTATGGAATGCACTTTCTTTAGGTCTGTCTTTCTCAAATCCTCTAGGCTACCAGGGAAGGTTAAATGACCCACAAAGAAGAGGGAAAAGATGGTGCTTTCATCAAAAGATGAGAGAGCTCTCATTCAGGTTTTGTTCTTGTCTGAATGGATTTCTTAGATTAATAAAATGAAAGAATGTAAGGCAAAGCAGTGGATGTGTTGGTGGGGTTGACTTGTGCCAGGTGTCCTGGGTTACACAAAGTGCAAGCCCCTTAGTCTGACGTATTTGCCTAGTCAGCTGTGGGAGTGATGGGAAAGTGGAGAGAGGGTGGAGAACAGCCTAAATATGGTGATGTGGATAAGAGGCTTAGATGTGGAAACAGAAAGGAAAAGATAGCTCTCACAGGAGGATTAAACCCATGCACCGTGTACTCTTGCAGAGGAACAAACCCTTGTATAGTGCATTTTGGATATTTTTGGATAGCGATAGGACAAGGGGGTATGGTTTTAAACTGAGACAAGGGAGGTTTAGATTAGATATTAGGAGGAAGTTTTGCACGCAGAGGGTGGTGATGCACTGGAACAGGTTGCCCAAGGAGGTTGTGGATGCTCTGTCCCTGGAGGCATTCAAGGATGTGGCTCTGGGCAGCCTGGTCTGGTGGTTGGCAACCCTGTGTATAGCAGGAGGTTGAAACTACATGTTCATTGTGGTCCTTTTCAGCCCAGGGCATTCTATGATTCATTGGAGGTGGGAGTGAGGAAGACAGATGTTCCTGTAGTTATTGAAGGAAGAATGGGGCAGAGGCCAATTGTAGTAATGGAGGACATGAAGGGGGAAGAAAACCTCCGCCCTGAAAATGCAGCACCTTTCCACTAGTTGGGGATGGATGCTGGGCCTGTAATGACGGGACCACAAGTGGTATTTTACTGGTAGAACCAGTTGTTCATCTTCCGTAGTGAATTTTTTCTTCGCTCAGTTTCATGCCCTCGTTTGTGGGTTGTTGGTGGGTGGTTTTTTTTTTCTTTTTTTCAGGACTGGGTTTCACAAAACCTTGTGGAAACTTTCCATGGGTGAAAGCAGGTGTAAAAAGAAATGCTGAGATTGGTGTGAGGAGGCTGGGGAGATAATATACAGTGTGCTCGTGTTTGTGAAATGCAGATGGGGTGGACAGAAGTCTTGGAAAAAGAAATGCATAAAGAGCAGAGGAAGATGAAGTCCTAATAAAAATCAGATGAAGACAGCTTTTATGTCTAGGAAGAACAGGCTAACAGAAATAGACTGTTTTTATTACAAATACCTCAGCCATTACATAACATTCTAACTAAACAGTAATGAACTAGACTATTACAGATTGCACTGTATTAGAGTGAGAAGCTTTGTATCATCGTATTGTTTTCCTGTATCTGATAACATCTTGATTAATGATTAAATTAGAGTGCAGAATTGCATTGTGTATCTTCTGTCTCAAGTATGATAGTGGTAACTTTTAACTATGTGTTTTTGAAGATAACTTGAGCTATGTTTTCAGAGATTTGCAATGCCAGAGACAGAAATTACTGCATTTTACATTTGGGTACATCAGCTGTGAAAGTATTGGACCACCTGGTGTTGGGTAGCTGAGAGAAGATGATCTTAAATATCTCTTTAATGCAGTGTACAACTGACTTCTCAGTGACAGAGCAGATTTACTCCATGTTTAGGTAGCTGGGATGTAAGTTGTAGCTCAGCATGCTCTGAGCAACCAAATGGATTTCTATAGTAAAACTGCAGTGGCTAGGTTGCCCATTTTTGCCACTGTTTGCTTCTGTTAGCAAACATCAAACTTCTCTGCTTAGAAAAGCAACCAGTTTCAGGCTGTCCTCATTCAATCACACAGGCAATTTCAGTTTATTTTTAGTATTAATGTTTCTGTAAGCACATGACCTTCATATTTCCCGATTTTTAGCTTGTAAGCTTTTAAAATTATAGATGTGCATTTAAACAGTATGTGCATACACATGGCTTCTTATTTTCAAATGAGACATTTGTAAGCTGTCTTTCTTTTTTCACCTTATTTAACTGCTTTCAATCTTCAGCCGAGGTGTCTGCAGGAGAGTCTTCATCTTTCCAGAAGAGTAACTTTGTTTCAGAAGCCAGTGGTATTTCTCTCAGCTTAAGACTTGATAAGATACAGGACTTGGGTGTTTCTTCCTTTTCAAAGTAACCATCTATCCCACTGAGAGACCTTGCTGTCTGGGGATCAGTGCACTGATGCTTTCATTTGGCTAAAACTAAATTTCTGTGTTTGCAGGTCTTGTTTTATAATACTGTTAAAAACAGCTTGTGCTTCCTTTGCAAGTGTATCAGAATGTGTGTTTGTGTGTACATCAAAAATATTCTGCAGTAACAAATTTTCTTTTGCAAATAAGAATAAATACTCTGCAGGAAGAATGCATTCTATGAAGAGAAGCTTGCCTTTTTCTCATGGTATGGCTATGTGATTAATTTACTGGATTCACCTTGGTTAGAAAATGTTTTTTATGCCATGTATCAAGCAGGGACAAAACTTTGTAGTATGCACTTAGCTGTGGATTCATCATAGTTTTTTAACTGTGGTTTTGACAGTGTACTGAGATTTCTTGACTGCTTTTGAAAGCAGAGCATCAAGGGATTGTGTCCGTTGTTTTTGGTAAACAAAGAACCAAGAGAAGCTGAAAATATTTGGCTTAATCTGGTGTAATTGGACAGATGAAAGTTAACTTTCATACTTAAATCAATTCTGTAATGATGAAAGTCCTATACATAAATTAGGTATGCTGATAAGACTTTTCTAATATTTTCTAATTTAGCTCATCATTTTTATTTTTCAGTAATGAATGTGGTCTAAAGCAGAGAGCTGAAGCTGACCCTTAATTAAGCAGCATTGTCCAGTCATTGGTGTGATTTTCACAGTTGCTTCTCTTACATAACGAGCACTGCTTTAGATACAGGATGGAGATGGTTTCTGCTTAAAGAAATTAGCGTGTCGTCAGCAACCACCACATAAGCAGAGATGATGGGCATAAGAGGCTGCATGGTAATGAACTGGACCGGCCCAAGGCTTGTGAAGGAGCAGATTCTACCTTTCTATGCACAGGAGTAAAGTTCTTTATTGGTGATGGAGAGTGGTAATCTGTGAGCATTTGGCATCCCTG